TGTGTGCCCCCCGCTCTCCCGCCTCCCTGACTCTGACACACACACACCCAGGTTTGTTTCTGTGTTTATATGAGGACCGTGCTTTATGCCCTGAACCTTAACATTAATTATCAGGACTTAACTCCCACTTCAGCCAACACTGAATTTACACCTCTAAACCTAGCACAAACCTTAAAAATATATATAACAAATCATAAATATACAATAAAACTTTATATTATAAGACTTGAGCATTGGGCCCTTCTGTCCCCTAAAGTAGTGGGGTCCTTATATGTTAGTGTGAAGGCCTATTAGAAAAATGGTTCTACTAACGCAAACACACGTACACACCCATGTTTGTTTCTGTATTGATATGAGGATCGTGTTTGTGCCCTAACCCTGACCTGACATTGCCAGGTTCTGACTCTTAACTTAAGCCCACATTGAATTTATACATTAGCTCTAAACCTAGTGCCAAACCCAAAAATATTCAATATGTCAAACATTTACATTAAAAATGCATATTATAAGAGATGAGGATTGGGCTTCAGTCCCCTAAAGTAGCAGTGGGTCCTTACATATTGGTGTATTAGAAAAATGGTCTTAAAAAGTAACACAATCATACGCACATGCACATTAACAAATCCCAGTAACATATGGGGGAGTGGTGGCGCAGAGGTTAGAAGATGGGCTTGCGATCAGAAAGTCGTAGGTTCACCTCCCGGTACCGTCAACATAAAAAAAAAAAACGTGGGTGGAAAAGGTGAAACACTCCTACCTCCCTCCACCCTCATTCGCCCCACTCTGGGCCCCTGAGCAAGAAACTTAACCCCCACCATCTGCTTCTTAAAAAGGTCTCTCTTGAAAATGAGTTCTCGTGGCTCAATGAGACTACCTGTATAAATAAAGGGTAAATGAAAAAAAAAAAACACTTTTCCATAGTATCTTTAGTACCAGTACAGCATGGTTTGACTCAGCTCGGGACAGTACACGCTGGGTTTCCAATATACTTTCAGTAACGGTTCTAGTGGGTTGGTACAAATTGACGTCATGCACCTTACCAGCTGGTGGCAGTAATGCTGGTTGTAAGACCCTGAAACAGGCTTCATATATCCATCCATTCATCCATTATCTTTTACCTGCTTTTTACATTTTGGGTCACAGGGATCACCGGTGCCCATGTCCAGCAATCACTGTGCGAGGGGTGGGGTACAACCTGGACAGGTTGCAAGTCCATCACAGGGACACATAGAAATAAATGAGACAAACAAATATTCACTCTCTCACTCACACCTATAGGGACAATTTAGAGTTACCAATCAGCCTAACATGCATGTTTTTGGTCTGTGGGAGGAAACTGGAATACCTGGAGAAAACCCACACATGCACAGAGAGAACATGCAAACTCCACCCAGAAACGCACCTGGATTGGGATTTGGGACCTGCTCGCTGAGAGGCAGCAGCAGCTGTGGCACCAGTTGTGCCACCATGCTGCCAGATTTCATATACAGGGTGAGAATTTATTGTGAAGTTTCTGGTAAATTCAAAAGAATAAAGAATATTAAAATGAACACATAAAAATAACGTAGTGGTGGTTACAGATGGAAGAAGCGTATGGACGGAAAAGGGGTAGATGCCCGGAGTGGGCGGGAACATT